TTTTTAGCCGAATTCAGGATGAAAAGTTTATGTCGCTCGAATCTGCATCCGTTTCGCGTACAGCTGATAGCGCAGGAAAGGGCTGGGTAGGAATGATATCTAAAGCTTTAGACCTACCCAAGCGAGAAATGATAAGGTTCGATGGTAATCCTATGAACTACTGGAGTTTCATACGAAATTTCGAGGATTGTTTTGATGAAAGCGTCGGACCTCGATCTAAGTTAAACTACTTGATTCAATATTATGATAGTGAAGCTAAGCCTACCATTGTTCATTGTACATTGCTTCAACCGGAGGAAGGTTATCGTAAAGCGTTAGAGCATCTTGAGGAAGCGTTCGGTCAGAAACACCTAGTCGCCCGTGCATTTATTGACAAGATGTTCAACTTCCCTGCTATTAAGGAGACCGACTCAAATAGTTTAAGAAGGCTAGCTGAGATGTATATCTGTGAGCTTACGCTCACACAAATGAACTACCTGTCCGATCTTAATTCTACGAAATCCATCGAAAGCATGTTTTTAAAACTTCCACCACACCTACAGAGAGAATAGGTTAAAGTAGCATGTCGAATTCTCAAGACGGGTAGTGAGCCTTTATTCAATGACCTCTGTGAATTTGTTAAAGAACAGTCAGATATAGCTAACACTAGATACGGCCTGCTTGTCAACTGCAGCGATAATGTCGATAAAAGAGGTTTTGACGCTTTAAAAGGGAGAGCTGCCGCAAGTTACGACATAGCAACGGTAGCACATGCAAGCATTAATGACAGCAATACTTCCTTACATAATTCACCTTGTCCAGATTGCTCAAGCAATCATCCCTTAGATCGATGTCAGAAGTTTAAAAACAAAAATGTTAAAGATAGGAAAGAATTCGTCTTTAAGCATAAGTTATGTAATAATTGTCTGAAAGCGAACCATATAGCAAAGAATTGTCGATCTCCGAGGTCGTGTATTGTTGAAGGATGAGGCTGGAGACGCCATACTCTGTTACATGAGAAGCGGGAAGAACGAAGAGATACTATTAGTATTTTGCGTGGGAAATTGTTAATAAACATTGTATCATCTGGATGATGTCTTTAGTAGTTCCACAGGTGTCCGCCCCATACAATAGAACTTTATTGACATTTGTGTTGAAAATTCTGACTTTGGTGTTTGTTGAAAGTTGGTTTGAGATTCAGATGCTGCTGATTTGTAAAATCCAGCCCTTTCTTTGACTATCCATGCCTTGAACTCTGCATCGAATCTACCCTGCTCTTCGGTGATTCTGCCCAGATACGTATAGGTTTTAACGTCCTTCAAGGCCTTTTTATCAAGAGTGATTTGGTCGTCACATGTTATGTTGTATCGGAGAATCTCGCTTTTCCCTTTATGTATGTCGAGACATGCTGCTGCTGAGGCTGCTGCTACATTGGTCGTCTTCTCTTGCATTTGTTGTTGGACGTACAATAGGGGAGTCAGATCAACTGCGAATTCGGGGTCGTCCAGCTGCACCCTGGCTGTCCACTGGATACCGTATTTCTCTCCAGATGTTGACATCTTCGTAACCCAGTTGATCACCAGAAGAGATAGAAAGGTTGAGAGTAAGCAACCTCACCCGGCACCGCTTGTCGCGTCGTACGAGTCTTTCGGCTTTCCTCCGTGCACGATTTTGCAGTTTAATCCGTCATAAGAGTTCCGTATGATGTTGACTATCTTCTCAAGCAAGCCTTAGTGTCGAGGGAACTTCTATAATGTTGTCCTGTGCATGCTGTCAAATGCTTTCTCATAGTCAATGAAGTTGATGTAGATTGATGAGTTCTATTCAGTTGGTTGTTCCACAACGATCCGTAATGTCGCAACTTGGTCAGTATATGATCGATCCTTATGAAATCCAGCCTGTTGATCTAGAGGTTAGGCGTCTACGAAGTCCTTCATTCTGTTTAACAATACCCTCTTGAAGAGATACTGATATTGAGAGGAGGGTGATGCCTCTGTAGTTCTAACATTTGCTGAGATCGCCTTTATTTGGTATTTTGATCAGGTATCCTTCTTTCTAGGCTGATGGTAATGTTTCATCATCCCAAATCTTGTTGAAGAGAATATGTAATATTTTTGCAGTTGCTTCCACATCTGCTTTCATTGCCTTTGCTGGAATATTTTCTGGTCCCACTGATTTTCCGCTCTTGATTCGTCTGATGGCAACGCTAATCCCTTCAATCGTTGGTGGGCCAAAATCGACTGCGAGGTCCGTGGATGCTGCTTCGATTTTGAGTGAGTACAGTAGGGCTTGTCGATTCAGTAGTTCTTTAAAGTGCTCTGCCCATCTGTTTTGCTGTCCCTGAATGTTGTCGGTTACTCTACCTTACTTGCTTTCCAATGGTCCTTCTGGTTTACGAAAGTTTCAAGAGAGCTTCTCTGTTGTATCGTACAATTGTCTAATGTTACCTCCTCTTGAAGCCTTTTCCGCCGTCATTAATTAATCTTCCATAGACTTACGTTTATTGGCTTTGACGTCTCTATTTACTTGCTTGTTTACTTCTGTGTATTCAGCGTGTGCCTTGAATCTCTCTACTCTTGTTTTGTTGATATTAATTACTGACTTCTGGTGCCTCTTTTCTTGAATTTTTTCGAGAGTACCAACAGAGATACATTCTTTGTGATTGTACTTCATGTGGCCTAGAACCTCGTGACATTTTGAAATGATTGCCTCCTTGATTCCTTTCCAATTGTTCTTCATGGTAGTATCCTTTCCATTGAGTAAATCGTGAAAAGCCCGGAACCTGTTACCGAGGGCTATTCGTTAGCTTTTCAGTATCCTAAAGAAATGCAATATTAGACTTTTGTGATGTTTTCCACTACTTTGTTCAATGCTTCTGGAGTTTCAGCTTCCTCTTAGGGACTACTATGTAGTGATATTAGGCCATATCAGCTCCTCTCTTGGTTCCCATGTCTTTCATGGCGCTTCTGAACTTTTCATTGATACAGATACGGTCGATTCGTTTCTGTGTAGCGTGATCTTATGAAATACATGTACGTTCAATTAGAGTTATGGAGATTAGTGTTTTTCCACACATTGAAATCATCAGTCAATCATTGTTAGACCACCACAAGAAACGTAGAAGCGATTTTTATGCCTTTGCATGGGAATATTGTGCCTCCGATGACGAGTTAGTTGAAGGCATATCCAGTGTTGTCCATGTCAACCTTGGCATTTGTGTCTCCCATCAGAATCGTCAAATCCTTTGATGAACATTTATCGATGATTGACATCAGCCTCGCGTATAATTGATCGTTAACGTCTTTATTGTAATGTCCTTGTTCTTCATTTTGAAGAATGCTTTGATGATCCTGGTTCCATGAGATTCCCATCCTTATTTGAGCAGAATCAGTGTGACTCCTAGTCCGTTTGAGGCATTATCTTCTTCAAAGTCGGAGTTTAAGAGCAACTCTCGTGAAGCTAGTCTTAGTTGTCCAGCTTGCGTGTAATGCGTTACACTGATTCCAAGCAACTACAGGTTATATTTTTCATCTCTGCAGCTATTTGGAGCAGTCTTTCTGTCTCCCACATTGTTCAAACGTTCAACGTACATAAAAAATAGTTGCTTTGGTTGTGAGAAAGGGTTTCAGTCTTATGACTTCCGAAGGAACTCGGCGTCCATCATGAGACGTCATAAATCTTCTAAAATGGTTCAAATTATTTTTCGTTGTTAGCGTTTCTTTAGAAAGTTACTCTTATTCGGGATGAGGTCGCCAACCCAATGTCCGAACTTACTTTTTTATCCGGGCTAGGGACAGGAAATAGTCACCAGATAGAGTTTTAATATAACTTCAGAGCATCAATAATATTAGGGGTTACTAATCCAGCTATTTGGCTGAATGTCATTACTTTGTTAATTAAGCTGGAATGAGTTTTATTATTATTATTGCTATTATTATGAAGGACTTCAATCTTTCCATTCGGCACTAGGACATTAACAAGCATACAGTGACAGAAATCAAAACGAATTCCTTAGTTGGGTGTTAAGAATTAGAACTTTTCACATAAAACTGTGTTTGTATCAGTGAAATAATGATACTTGAGACAGATCTATACCATCAGGAATGTTATTTGATTCAACTTGATACGGAAAGATTTATTCGATTTCGCTAAAGATAACATCCGGAAAACGATCAGGTTTCATGGTAAACATAGTCTGTACCAAAGGCTTTAGAAAAAAAATCACGAACATGACAATCCATAAATTGTAAGAATAGTTTTGAGGTATCCGAAATGAGAATCACATGCAGCAGTGATAGTAGCTTTTTTTGCCCTAGTTTCTTAGTGTCATGACAAAAGGTGCGTGGTGAGTATACCTTAACGATAACCCACATCACCTAAATACACTAAAACATAAAATTTCGCCTGTGTAGGCAAAACAAATATATATGATGCCTTTTAAAAATTTAAAAGCTAAGAGTAGAGTATTTATATGTTACTAATGACTGCCTCTGGAGTCCAAGGACAGACAAATGCCCCAAGAAGTGGATGTAATGGAACTAAAAAAGCAACTGAACTTGTCTTCACAAGAAGAATTCATTTAGGCCAATTTTCACAGAATGAGTAGGAAGGTAGATTTTCCGTGAAAATCACAAACCTAAAGTGACGAACCGAAAAACCTAGTGTATATGAAATAACGTAAAGAGAATACTGGGTTAATAACGGCATTTCGGAGGCTATATCAGTTACAGGTACGGCAGTTTCTAGGTAAGGTGAGGAGATTGAACGACGAGTTAGGTTTGGAATATGCATCCCCATACATTTTATGTTTGTCGAGATACACTTTAGGAAGAGTCTGATCATAAAAATCACATCAAACACAGTTAACAACTCCAAAACATCAACTACGTCAAGATCTAAAAGGTTTTAAAATAAACTACTTTACATCAGGTCACCACATAGACAATGTTTTATAGATAAGTCGCCCCCACTTTTTACTTACTTTGTAGTAAACTTGATTAATATACATATTTAATTGTTTTAATGGTGCTTTGGACACAAAGTCGGCAGCGAAAGTCCATTGCACCGCTCTGTTTGAAGTCCAACGTTAGGGACTTCTCAAAAAAATCAGATAGTTTGATATGAGCGATAGAAAAAGTCGCAATGATTCTCGTAGAATGACCGACGATAGGGTTAGAGGAGTAGTCAAATGGTTCAACGTGAAAGCTGGATATGGATTCATTACTCGGTCAGATACCTCATCCGATATTTTCGTGCATCAAACAGCAATTTCAAGAAATAATCCAGGAAAAATGCAGCGCTCACTTCAGGAAAATGAGGAGGTTGAATTTTTCGTTGTTGAAGGGGACAAAGGTGTGGAGGCCTCTGATGTCACTGGACCTGACAGAAGGCCTGTTAAAGTATGTTTTTATATCTCATATATTTCTAACGTTCTCAGGGCAGTGTCTATGCCTCGGATCGACCTTACGGGCGGAGCCCCAGAGAGTTTGGAGCGCGTGGTGATAGAAACGACTCAAATGGTTATAGAAGCAATGGGTTTGGGTCATATCGTGCAAGAGGGAGGGGTCGCGACGGACCCAGGGTGAGTGCTAACAGTTATAATGTCAATCACTTTGGCACGTGATATTAATTTTCAGCTTCAGGTCTCATACGAGACATCTAGTGAAGTTAAATAACTTGGTAGTTTCGTATCGCTTGTATTAGTAGGCTAGTTAGTATCGGGTTGCAGCTACATAACAGCTTGAATAAAATTTTCAAGTATGTATTAGTGTTAAGGCATCGGCAACTTGTCAGTTAGCCACAATATTTGTGAATAGCAAGAAAGTGACGACTGATTGTACCAAAGATGTTTTGACCTAATCTTGATTAGGGTTATACATAGTCGAATCGTTAGCACAAACTGTACTATTGGATCGGAAATCTGCAGGAGTGCCACTTAATCTTACTTGGTTGTTATAGATTTTCTGTGCTCTTTTCTTAGTAACCGTTCAGTCTTTCCCAAAATCATTTCCGTTCTTAGCTACCCGTCTCGAAATCCGATTTAACATGCTATTGTTACTTAGCTCCTGGACCAACTCTGTTGTGTTGTGCTCAGCGATGTTGACTACTAAATATACCATATCCTGAAGGATATTTGGTTCTACACAGTTTGGATAAAAATTTAACATTTGTATTGTAATAGTGACTTTTCGGTCGTAACTTGCAATTTGTTGTAATTAGCAACATTCTAAAATGCGGCATCACCTACCTATCTAGCAGCGAACGAATTAACAATACCTTACTTTACTGGTTTCCCTAACTAGTTTCGTCTAAGCTCCGGCGATCGCTTGTGTACTGCAGTGACTAAGATACCGAATCTACTACGCGTCAGAGACAAAGTACATCGGCTATGTATGAAAACAACAAATTAAAAACCAGAACGATTAGTTTGTATCTTTACTCTCGGTAGACACTTTTTCTCGTTTATAGAGCGGTTAGAATGCTTAGCGTTCTAAGCCAGCATTTGTCCTTGTACGATATACTTACTTGCTAGAATGCAGTAACGAGATGTCCAGACGCGACCAATACCAAGCACAGTAACTCAGTATTTCTCATCCCTTGTTCTCACATGTTCGCGCGTAAGTTGTACGTTAGCACTCGCAGCAATTGATACTGTTGCTTCTACATGTAGCTATTAGATTCCCTTTCTGTGTCGATGTGAAATACAACATAAACATACAATTAGCGTATCCGACGCTCTCCATTTACAATTTGTCATCCTTATTGTTAAAGCTATGAGGCTTAAATAAACCAGTATACCAAACAGTCATATTGTCGGTTTATCTGAAATTTCGTTATTTGAAGTATGTGTATATATATGCCGTTCAATTTAATGGATGGTTTTCATTATTCTTAAGTCAAATCGTCCACAAGGACTAATTGTTTTTCTGTAATCGGCTATTAGGGTGGTGGTGATTTCTCAAGAAGATTTGAAGAGCGCAACCCACGCGATCGCAGCCGAGGATACGGATCGAAAGACAATGGTGCTTATTACTCTAGCCCATACTAATTCCAATCCATGTTGTACATATTGCATTTTAATGCCTAATTTGTACATTTTATCTCGTAATGTCTTGTTCTAGTGAAGTCATTTTTTCTGTGGATATCACGATATATGCATTTATATGTATCTAAAACTTGCAGTTTTCACTCAAACCATGGAAATTAAAAAACGTTAATCAGCAACCGCGTTTTTCGTTTGACTAGCATGTATCGCTCAAAAGTTGTATGACGTCATGTTGTAGAGCCAGGTCATAACTTAGTATTTCAGGAATAAAATTAACTGCTAGCACCTAAATTCAGGTAATGTCCCTGCACTAACGTACTACTAGGGTCGAAAAGTGTTTAAGTATATTGGGTAATCAGCATGAACACTTACCTGTTACTGAAAGATCAGTTAACCCTCCACTGTTAGTACCAACCCTGTCTCACCTGTAAAGTTCGGTCTCTTATTTGACTGTATGCCCCACTGGTAATAAAAAAAATAGCACCATCTGGCTGTACAACTGAAATAGGACTTTGATCAACCACCTAATTGGAAAGCATTTAATTAATTTAGATTAACGAGCTTCATCTTCCACGTGCTCATTACCCACGGTCAGCGTAGGTGCTACAACGGTCCAGTTATCTCTCCGAGTGAGATTGCCGAATAAACGTCAGAGTCTGCCTGTTTTTCATGGTAAAAACCGATATTTACAATACCTGTATACTTGAATAGTTGCTACAACGTTTGCACGTTTCAAAAAGCATCAGGATTCGAATAATCTATCGTGGAGGTTGGCATTAATCAATAAACCATTTACCTGTAAGCTAATATAGCAAGCTACACGATATTGTATAGATTCTTAAGTCCCTGATTCAGTCAGTCAGTCAGACGCAACGTAGAACTTCGTACGTAAGTACATCAGTTCATGTTGCCATACTACATCAGCACAGAGATGTAATTGTCAATTCAAATCCAATAGTAGAAGAGGTAGAAAAGGTATTAGAAGTAGTCGGAGAGGTTAGGATTAGAAGATATTATTCAAGAAGTATGATTCAGTGAGGAAAGTTTAGAAAGTCAAAACTAGAGGTGTTGAAGAATCCCGAAGATTAGGATTTGAGAGAACACAAAGAATAAATGCACCGGCGCCATTGCGAACGATTTTGAGCCATGTCATTCAAGGTCTCTAACCATCGATTATTATCATCTCGCGGACCCCAACCAGGTAGTCGACAATTACCGACATGGCTAAGTCCACTCGTCAATGACTTCATGGATTTCTGCCATGTTTTGGTCTGGCCGCCCCTAACTTTCTTCCAACCTACTCCTACACTACTAAACAAGGCTCGGCGAGGCAGTCGGTGGTTCGGCATACGCAAGACATGTCCCAACCACCTCAACTGATGAAGTTTCACTACTTCATCGATTGCTCTCCCATCCTTACCTAGTACTCGTTTTCTAACGACAGCATTGCTCACTCGGTTGTCCCACGGTATTCGAGCAATGCTTCGAAGACACCTATGATCGAAAAACCAGTAACCTACGAATATCTTCTACTCTAACTGGCCATGTTTCACAGCCATATAGGAGAACGGAGCGAACTGCTGCACAGTACACTCGTCCTTTAATTAGAGAACGGATATCACGCCTACGCCATAAGTGACGCAGGTTGGCAAAAGCCAATCTGCGTCCCTGATTGCTTCATGGCATTATTAAATCATCCGCTGTGTATTATTTAGTTGTAAGTACTTAATACCCCACTTAGTTCCAAGGTTATATTTTAGACTGAAGCTAGGTAGCGTTTTGAAAGATGATGAAAATAAAGCTGACTAGGGATCCGAATACAGTCCCAGACGAATCTAGTGCAAAATTCTCTCTTGGCACTCAAGTTTTGAGTGTCAGTACTCACATGAAGTCGTGTTACATTCTCGTCGGGATAAAATTTCTGTTTAAGCTGAGATTGTTTATCTAATTTATTCTGTACTGCCAGCAGCAAAGAACGCAAGTGTATTTCGAGAAAAATACGTCGTAACTTTCAAAAGTTTATTTGAAAACTTCTCATCATGAGCTTCATATACATAATTTAGCTAATTCGTCCCGGAGCTGTTTTTCACTTGCAATTTTGTCTAGTTGATTAAATGCCAAAACTTTTCCAGCTGCTTGTTCTGATTTCAGCTTCTCAATCTGTGTCAGTTTCTATTATTACACGAAAAGAAATAATTCAAGATAAGATGATTTGCATAATGTTACAAACTGTAATTCGGCTTACCTATTAACTATTTTTATGGATTGGGATATTAAGTCAGCTATGAATTTAATAAGTTTCAATATCCCTTTCACATATACATGTGTGATGAAGCTGGCACACAATCAAGGTTAACTGAGTGAATGCCTTAGCTTAGTTAGGTATTCGTAATTTTTAGCCATTAAGAGTGACGTCACTAACATGTCTCCGTCATCCATATATATATACATCCAATCCATCGTGCATGCAGTAAACAATAAGTTTAGTTTTGTTGGTAAACATACAAGTTATTTAGTCAATCTATTGCCGGTTGGTCAGAGTTATGTACAAAATAGTACGTGTGAATCAATGGTTTAAAGTCACGAGTGAGATATTTGTAAATCAATCACAGTACGTGTAATCCTGATCTTTCAAGAGATTAATACTCATTTATAATATTCTCAATCCTATTGCAGCTACTTTGTACTAGTTTTTATGTTGTTTACATCTATTCTAATACAAAGGGAATTCGGGTCACAAACAGTATTAGCGAATAAGTTTGAGCGAAACGTTCACTAACTCCCGTAAATATAGTGTTTGAAGTAGTAGTAACATTTGCCACTCCAAATTTGTGCTGATTTTTGAAATATCAACTGACTTTAGTTAATTATGGATCACTAACGAAACATACAGTTGGATGTGAGTCTTGAGGTTAATCACTGCAAAAATGACAGTAAGGTGAAGGGATCTATTGAAACAGAATTGATACTAAATTAGAGAACCGACATTTCGAAATAATTGCTGCGGAATCGGAATAACACTACGCAGAGTGATTTTATGACGACACTCATAGGCGATTAGGAGTCTAGTTACTGGACAGTGAAGCAAGAAACATGTTTATGATAGAGATGTGTTGTTCCCTACAGCTGTCGATGTTACTGAGCGGCATTTGAGATTCACTTTACGAAGAAATGCACATCACGTTAACCTCAGTTGGATTCCACGTGCTACTAAAGATCACTGCATAGTTGAGAAGTATGGAAATGGAGATCTCTAGAAATGCATTTCCATGATCCGGCCAGAAATCGATTTCAAAATCTTGGGGTTTTACGACAAGCGCTCATGCATCAAAGGCATGTTTCCCCTCATTTCCACCGGCACCCCAATCGAGATTGATCAGCAAAGAACACTACGTTCAAGTACTTTTATATGTTATTTTAACTAGTGTTAAAGTGATAAAACGACAAGTTTATTAATCACGAAAACTGCTAACTGACTGAAAAAGAATTAAAGTACTACCCACCGATAATGAATTTACAGGATATGTCTAAGCGTCATTAGGAATAATAGTAATATCAAAAAAGTTGTAAGGTTACTTACTCTAGGCGTGTTAATAGCGAACAAATTATGTAAGGTCAAAAGATTAAATATCATGCTACAATGAACTCACTTTACATATCTGATTGACTTGTTTCTGGTTATTTGGATCTGATGCAGTTGGGTTAGCGCATTCATTATTAGATGAAGTTGAATTTTTGACAGCGACAGATTTCGATGTGATATTTTGATTTGAACCTGAAGTTGAATAGTGAACAAATAACTGGTTAGAAACTTTTAAACAACCTATATTTTTATCACATCTTAATTTTATGTCAGTCAGTAGAGCACTTACAAGTTTTGGACAGTTTGTTCTTGTACACTGAACTCTACAACATTTAAGCCTCACGCCCCTTAGATTAAGGAGAAATAAAACTGTCGGTTAGTAAAATAATTGAAGTGGATACGCCAATCAAGACTATTTATATGAGGATGGTCCGACCGAAGCTGCTACCTTGACGTGGTGGTCGGGCTTGCCTATCGTGATGACCCAACCGAGCTATACTGGCTGGAACATATGTTCCTGCAGGTCCTATCATGCCAGGCAGGTCGATTGGAGAACGATGAGACTAAAAGCAGCTACCCAAGGTCTGAGGGCGAAGTCGTACTGCTGACTGCAGAGGGGTGTGACAGCAGTAAGGTGTTTCCCTCGTACAACCAGCATCTGCAGCGATGCTGCCTTCTCACAAGGAAGGAAGGGTTAGAAAAGGTCGGCCCTAAAAATGTCATATCTCCCCTACCTCACGGATTTCCGTCTCCAGCGGTGAGGGTGCCCACTAAGGGTTTTCAAGAGCGAGGCTAACACTCAAAGAACTCGTACAAAGGCCGTGCGTGACCGGCCTCAAGTAATTGTCCCTTGGGCTCTGTGGTCACGCTCGCAGGTCGTTCAGATCAACGCTAATCTACCTTCCTTTTCAGGTTTCTCAAGAAACAACCTTCCACGGTTTGGGCAGCCGGGAAGTGACAACCGCCCTCATACCCGTAACTGACGGATATGAGGATGGAGGTGTGTAACCCATGAGAATAGTACTGAATAACAGAGGCAAGTTTACGTGGGCTAGTGGAATTGTGAAATTCTATGAATAAATAAGATGATTGGCTAGCGTTTATTTGTCAGAAGTTTCAGTACAAAATAAGATCGGAAACAGCATCTATTATGTTATGTTTAAATCACAAGTCAATCTAAGCTAAACAGCAATTGGGAACCTGGAAACACAATACTGCTGTTTTCTACTAGTACGATATTCTTCAGCATTAGAGCTTAACCGGCAACCTCAGTCTCGCGCACAAACGCTTAACCACTGAGACAGGATTCGATTTTCACAACACATCTGAGTGGTCGATAAACATAATCAATCTGAGTAAACATAAACACAAAGTTAAAAAGATATGAACACCAATAGTCAAAATATTAACAGTTACGATGATAAGGGGTATGATAATAATAGATGCACAAAAAAAGAATGAATTCAAGTTTGAAGGTGAAAATAATATCAGAGCTTGTTTTAGGGGTATAGTAGTAAATAGATACCCTGGAATGATTAGCTTGGTGAACTTCAATATTAATGCTGACCTCCTTGATATAACTGGATGCATTCATGGATAAAGGCAAGAGTCTGCACAAGATCACCTTGGAATAAACCGCGCTGCATATTTACGACAACTAGTCAGCTTAGATTTCATAGATTCCAATATAGCAAATTATGATTCAGATATATCTTCGCATTACATGATCCTTGATTACCTGTTGGATTAGCTTTTATGATCGTTGCATACGAAAAGAATGCGTACAATAGTACTATCAAACCTTGATTATCAGTGACATCTTCACAGGAAATGGAATGTATATGTGCCACTATAATCTTTATTGATCCATATAACCCAATGCCTTCAATGGCTGATGTCATGACGGATTGCAACCATGCATTTTGCATCAACTATCATGGGTCAGTCAATGATCTCTTTCGTTTATTCCATTCTACCCCAATCAGCACTGTATACTAAGTTGAGTGGTTGTTCGGTTTAGAGTAACACATATCACAACCATCTAAATCGATGACAATCCACAGGGTTATTAACTAATACATCATCTTTGATTAAATTCATGAATACTTAAAAATAAATATGATTAAACTCTTTTAGTGAACGTGCCAATTGCGTTCAAAGCCAAGTTTCAGTTGTAAACTAATACAAGATAGAATGAATAGCAGGAGTTTTATGTAGAGGATATTTAATGACAATAAATTTTAATTAGTACAAGATATTGTTTGATCGAGAGAGTTCATCCTTTTAATCAATAAGAAGTCTAAATGATCTAGATTTAAACCTTGGCTAGGTGATGGTAGTAGTAGTAGTAGACAGAAACACATATCTGATGATATCCAGCTTTCTGTGGCCATCTAGTTCAAGGTGTTTAGTGTGGTTAGGGTTTCGAAACCAATATTTTATCATATTCTGAAATTCACTACTTTCGAATAAACAAAGTTGAGTGTAACTGGTTTATTTCATCAATGGGACACTAAATTCATGTACGCACGTATAAATTCTGTCCCTTAATTGTAATAGAACATTATTATTTACTCATGTATTTTAGTTTGATATTTGCATGTTTTATTTGACTGACATTATTTAAATAATTCAATCAAATTGGCAAGGTTCATTTTCTATCTCATACGCATAAACTGACCTATACACACAAGTCTTAAAAACGACTAACATTTTTGTTAATCTTTTCTATCGTTAGTTGTAACACAACAGACCAAATGATATTTAAACCAATCCCATTTGGTCTTTTTTTCTAATGCAGTGAGTGACCTTCTATTGTTGTACTAAATGTAGAAAAAAAAAACAGACTTATGGTTGTAGGTCACATGCTTTGTTTACGATGACTAAGGTAGACAAGAAAACAATATTTGAGGTCATTAATGTCAGTTAGTTATGGCCTTTATTAATGCATGAAAATTAATCGTGTGAAAAGTATTGATTTTTTCCATTGAATTTTGTGGAATAAAACTTGATCATATAAATGAAAGATAACATGATTATTGTATGTCGTTTATGCAGAGTAAATGTTTTTTTCAATCGATACTGTTAAATGTGAAAGGGCAGAACACTCATGTAATATTGAATTCGTGTAGAAATAATTTTCGGTAAAAAAATTTATTTTGATAAAATTTTAACGTCTCAATCTAGGTTATTCAATAAAAACAACTTTACACACACCCATAACATTGTAAGATCGAGAGAGTCACTCTTACTTACTTACTTACGCCTGTTACCCCCAATGGAGCATAGGCCGCCCACCAGTTTTCTCCAACCAACTCTGTCCTGGGCTTGCTTCTCCAGTTCTGTCCAATGTTTGTTCATTCCTCTCATATCTTTCTCTATTTCTCGGCGTAGTGTGTTCATTGGCCTTCCTCTTTTCCTTTTGCCTTGAGGGTTCCATGTGAGGGCTTGTCTCGTGACACAGTTAGGTGCTTTTCGTAGTGTGTGTCCTATCCAATTCCACTCTAGCACATACTTTTTAGTGTTCACAATAAAATATAATTCATAGGTGGTCAACCTTACTTATTTACGCCTGACTGAATATATCGATGTCTGTATCACAGAAGATTCGGTAGTACCAGAATTGCAGAGACATTCACTTACGCCTGTCACTTCCAATGGAGCATAGGCCACCGACAAGTGTTCTACAACCTACTCTGTTCTGAGCTTCCCTTTCCAGTGCTGTCCAATTTTTGTTCATTCTTCTCATATCTTTCTCTATTTCTCGGAGTAATGTGTTCCTCGGCCTTCCTCTTTTCTTTTGACCTTGACGGTTCCAAGTAAGGGCTTGTCTTGTGACGCAGCCGAGTGCTTTCCACAGTGTGTGTCCTATCCACTTCCACCGCTTCTTCCTGATTTCCTCCTCCGCTGGAATTGTTCTTTCCCAAAGTAGATTGTTGCTGATCTAATATTTCAACCATTTTATTGTTATCAATATAAACCTAGTTTAGGAATTTATTTCCCATCAATATTATGGATACATTTTGAGTTAAGATTGACAATATGAGATCAATTAGGACAAAATAGAATACATTTTTTAATAACAATATTAAAAAGAATAAAAATGTTATTTGAAATAAATAACATACTTTTGCTTGAATTCATGTTATTATTACTATTATTGTTTACAGAATGATTAGATACTTTACCATGATCAGTAAGATTAGATGCTTTCATTGATTGTACAGCTACTGCAGAACGATTACGAAGTACAGGAGGTACATAAACTGCAGATTTATTTACTGAGGTTGCAGTGACCTTTTAACCAAAATAGAAAAACAAATAAAGAATAAGGAGCAGCATAACACAATAAGAAATAGAAGCCAGATTACATTGTTATACAAAATAAAATGGCGAGTATGAAAAATATAGAAGTAGTAAATAATTTTAAGCAATCTATTCATAACAGTATTTATTGGAATGTATAGAAGTAATGCACATTTTATACAGTATTCATTCAATCAAATAAAAAAGATTGTGTAGATTGTTATTGCATTACGGGGTTGTGAACATTGGTTAAGTTACACATTTGAAATCATGAATCGGTCAGTGTTAGACCACCGTTAGAATCCGGGAAGCCCTGGATGGCCGTCTCGTCAAGGTATAGGGCTCCTCAGCAGTGCGCATTCACGACTCCTGCATCTTCCAGGATTCGAACCCAGGACCTTCGGTCTTGTGCGCGAACATCTAACCTCTAGACCACTGAGCCGATATTAATTATTATTATTATTATTTTCTGTCGGTCATTATGATTCTAACATTGTTGGAATTCATGTTTAATGAATTCTTTTACATCGATTTCAATACACACTAAGCAGACATGAAAGCAATATAATATATGTGTAGAAATAGTTACGCAATATCATATCAATAATTAAAGATAGATAAATGATTATGGTTGGAATTTGTTATGATCAAATGAAGAATAAAGTAAGTTAGAGAATTAATTAACTTCTAGATTATTGTATATTTAGATTCTTCTAACAGTAATAATAATAATAATAATAATGATAATAATAATAATAATAATAATAACAGTGACTTTATGCAGTAATATATGTTTAGCACGATAGGAAATTCTCGTCAGGTTTCTTTTACAAAACCAACCAAAAACAAAAATGGCAACTAAATATATACATTAAAATATAAGCCGATAAACTCTACCTGGAATTTAAATGAAGTTTTTTTAATAAAATGAGAATTGATAAAACTTTTATGAGTGACATAGTTTGGAATATAATTTTTTGTCAAGGTCAATCAGCTCTAAACATCTGTTCGTTGCATAGTATTTATGTTAAGAAAAAGGTATTTTATAGTTATTATACGTTTGTTTGCGTACACAGATTCCAATGTATTAGGGTCTTGTTTTAGCAGACGATGCACAAAGAGAAAGATGTGAATGGAGTGAAAGGTTAGTATCAGATACAGTAACACTCGCTAGGAATGGTAAAGCTTTTAAATAACTATCTGTTAGGATATTCATCCAATATCCTAAGAGAATTATTTGTAAGTCTAGTCCTATTGGTGGTCCTAACTATCAATGTCACATACTTCAATGTTGTTTCCTATTCAACCTAACTGTATAAATACGCATTATGTGTAACGTTCTATGACCCGGACCAGGACTTGGATCCCTAGTCCGGGATTCTGATTCTCTTCTGGATTCGGACCTCGTACTTTCTGGATGCTTGTAGAATACAGGTTCTACTTCATATCAAGTCTTCTTTTACTCAATGGGGGTTTGGGATGCTCGGATTAGAGTAGCATGTCGTGTCGCCGGATCCTCGATCCTCGCTATCGTTTTCTGACTAAGGTAATCTCGTAATAGTTCAAACATACCAAATCACGTGTTGACGCACATGCGTAACACTATCCACTACCATATGTGTGATGACGTCAAAAGATTCACCATGAACCCTGGTCAACCACCTTCAACGTTCTCCGCTACACAGGAAATTTTTTTCTTAAAAGCCCAGGAAAGAATAAAGGAGACACAGAAAGGGATGGAAGATAATATTCAAGATCTTACAAACTGCACAAATACCGAGTAATGCCAAAAATATGTGGCTTCTTTATATAATAACTCAAACGGAAAACTTTCTTCGATATCAATAAAAGATGAGAAGACTGAGGAAGATTAGAAGAAAAACTTTTACCAAGATAAATGATCTTTGACACTATTTATATCATTAAATTTTCAAAGATACAAACTTTATCAACTTCTAACAGGGTGCTCATGTCTCAAGATAAAATCAACAGTTTGACACTTAGAAAGATTAAGTGTGAAACCACTATCACCAGACCATCGTTCAATGAGCGATAAGAACTTATTCCTTTCCAAGGGGCAGAAATCAATGCATAGAAAATGAGATCAGCTAACATAACTAACCAAAGTGTTTACTGTAGATGGTAGATCATGTAGAATAAAAGAGAAAACGAAAAGGGAACGAATAGCTCCTTGTGGCACACCATTTTGATTTAGTAGAGACGTTGAACACTTCCTACTAAGTACACTATATTACACTCTTCTAGAGAGGTAATAACACAGCAAGTTGGTTATTCAACTATCAATGGTAACGCTTATAAGCTTGTTTAGTAATCGCGGTCTTGGTGTAATGTTCAAAGGCAGAAGTAAAATCTAGAAATGCGCATCAAATCATAGGATCAAGAAACAGATCAAAAGGGGGGGTGCAATCAAAACAAAGTTACAAACAACGACAGGTCAAAAGACAACAGCAACCAATCAAGATCGAGGTTAGCAGAACAAGCCACAGGTCAAACGTGGAGAAATTCGAATGCTTCACTTCTATCTGAAGTTTGTGCTGATGATATTGTTCAGAAGAACAATGAAAGCTCCACAACCAAAACAACCAGATCAGAGAACAAAACACCACCACAATATTTCTTAACAGTTTTTAAGCTGAACACTATATTATGATGTAGGACAATAGCAGCATCTGAGCTAGTGCTTTTACATTTGTAATCAAACTGATACGTTTGAATATGGACTTTTAATGTAGGTTGAAGTAGGAGCTACAAAAAAGTTATTCCATTGTTTTAAGAAAAATTGAAGAATTTGTTATCAGTCTAGATTTTACCTTCATGTCGCCAGATACTTTCTATGAAATGAGAATTTATCATTGTCGTTCTCCAGATATTAGATATAAAATTTGTTGACGACGATTCACTAAAGATGCTCGTGAATAGTTGTAAGAGTACATCTTTTTTCGGATTTCGGTAAACATTTCGGGTAGAACATGAATAATAGAATAATCAGAACTTAACAAAGAAGCTCGTTTCTGAGTCACATATATTACCATATCATTAGTGAAAACTAAGTTGAAATGCGTATCTGAACGAGTTTAAAAACTAGCTACATTTTGATGATCTAGTAGTGACAAAAAACCACAGTCACATCAATTCAAATCACTACATACAATTGAAAGAGGTCCGCGATTTCGGCCAACTCATAAATGAAAAAACGGATGGTGTAGATCAGACGCGGTCTGGAGTTACATAGATGTTAATGATGTAAACATAATTGTACTTATTCAAGTGTTTCGGACAGCATCTTAGGATCAAACAGTCAATGAAGTCGTTTGAAAACTCAAAACATGCAACATTAGATCGACAACAGTTCATATTTACAAATGTAGCTACCCAAAGCCGCAGTTTTTCTTCTTGCTTGATCGATCTTGACAATAAATATTGATTGTGTACATCATTAAACGCTAGAATTCTCGAATTGTGATTTCACCGCAGTTACCATACATGTTTAGACTAAGTAGGAATTGAAAAGAATGTTCATGTATGATTTTTATTTTTAATTTTATGGTGTGACTTAGTTTGGTATGGTCTGTTTGGTTTTGATTTCTGAATTCCAGAAGTAGGGTAGAGAGAAGCAAAAAATCACAATTTTGACGTTGACTCAGAGTGATTAGTACTGATTGCTGTCCTTGTATTGATATCATTGATTACTTAAATGTTTGACTCTTCTTTTCACCAATTGTTGGCGACGTTAGATCCCCAGAACTCACTTGATAAAGGCCCTAATTTTAGATTTTATCATTTCATTCATAGGCTGATCAATTGACCTTAAGATTGCAAGTCCCACCCGTGAAATCCTTGATGATTATCGGTTGATGTGTTATTTAAGTACTCTATTTTTGTGGCTCTCGCAAGGACGTTTCTATGATGTATAAATCAACTCGATTTTCTGGATGCTTGTAGAATACACTTTGTATGTCTTGTCAAGACTTCTACCTCTTCTAAGTGGAGCCTTGAAATGTTCGGATTAGAGTAGTCTATCGTGTCACTGGATCATTTGTCTTCGCTCTCGTTTACCGACTAAGGTGAACTCGTAATAGTTTCAAGCATATCAGTTTACGAGCATAACACCAATATTACTTATTTAGAATCCTATAGTCTATTACTGAAAGAGTGGTTGACAATGAAGATTTTTTTGAGAGATAACATCATGAGTGAACTTGTCAAAAGCATCGTAACAGTTTCGATTTTTTTTCCTTTTTTTATGAGATAAGCCTCCAACCATTTTTCGAACGGTCGACAAGAACAATAGAGTAAGCTATGGACTAAGTGTATTTACAAACCTTACTTAGATATTTTACAAGATTGAATTCATTAATAAAATAATCATTAACTAGACAGTAAACTCAATATTTAAGTACTAGAAATTTGTTAATCTGTTTACCAATATTGATTTTAGTTATTTCAATTGATTGATTACTAAAACAAGATTTCACTATTAAGGAAGAGAAAAAAATCACTTGTCAACAGAAGCGAAATCAAGTACATGAAACAATAAACGGATCATCGTCCTATCATACATAAAAGACATATTAGTGCATACAGCACGACTACTGAAACCATTTGGAATAGGTGTAGCACACGAACCAACAGAATCACTTCGACTAATCCTTTGATGACCAAAGGACAAAATGACTAAGGAAGAAAAACCAAATATCGTCAACAAAATAAATTGTTCAGATTGTGAAAAACACTACATAAAACAAAGTGGACGGCCTCTTCACCTTCGTTCATGCGAACGTCAATTATCAGTCAAACGCCACGACAACTCTTCACTTATATCAATACATACTGACAACTATGGACATTCGTTCGATTAGAACAATATAGAAATACTGAATAGGGAGAGTACAAGGAACATTAGAGAATTTTTAGAAGCTTGGCACTTAGATCAATCAGCAATCAAAAAACACATCGACATTGACCCAATTTATCAAACAATCAGAAAAATCATAGACGAACATAGGATCAAAAAACAGAACAAAAGGGGGATACAATCAAAACAAAGGTGCAAACAACGACAGGTTTAAGGTGAACAGCAACCAATCAAGTAAGAGCTTAACAGAACAAGCTACAGGTCACACGTAGAGAAATTCGAATACTTCACTTCTATCTAAAGTTTGTGCTGATGATGTAGTTCAGTAGAAGAACAATGAAAGCTTCACAATCAAAACATCCAGCTCAGAGAACGAAACATCACCACAACTTGTTACTAACTAATTGATTTGAATTAATATGCCTTGATCATTTTGAGACTACACATAACAAAATTTTCACTGCATAATTCACATGATTAAAATTTTTTTTTAAAACAAATGGAAGAAAAACAATCACACTTACAGATTCAAATTTTTTCGGTTCAGGAGCAGATCCAAGTCGATCCGGATATAAAACACAAACTTGATATAATTCATGATCAATGGCAGCTGGTAAATCTGGTGTAGCTGCTCTAGGAATAGCACGTCGTTCAATTGGTCGATAAGATAATTGTTTACCACTGTAATGCCATATACCAAAACTATTTTTTTTTTTAAAAATATTTGAAAACAATAAAACATTAGAAAAAAAAGAGGGAATCACATGATTTATGAAGAAAAAAAATTGTCATCATAAAACTCAAATAAAATATTATTGAACACTGAACAATGCTCAATATAAATTGAATCATTTAGAAATAAAAAGCAAAATTGTCAATAAAGTTAAGTTGAGTAAAATCAATTTCGGTGAGAAAAATTATGGGCTGTGCCGAAGTTATTATGAGACTTCTCTGACTATATAATATAATATATAACGTAAGGTTCGTTGAGTTAGTTAGACATGATTACACAATGTATTCTTCATACGAATAAATCCATAATTCACTGATTTTAAGGTGAGCATACTTGAACGCTAGTGTTTTTTTTTGTCGAATTGAATACTTTCGAAATCTCAACTAATCGTTGTTAATTAATCAATAAAATACACCGAAATTTTTCGTAATATGTAGATGAAATTAAAAATACACAGACAACACAGACAACATGTATTGATTTGACACCATTCCGATTACACACTGAACATTCATTCGATAAATAAATATTTAGTGAAAGCTAAGAAAACATTGATTTGAATATATATGCTAAACAGAATACAGTCAGTCAGATGCAACGTAGTAAAGGTATTAAAAGTAGTCGGAGAGGTTAGGATTAGAAGATATTATTCAAGAAGTATGATTCAGTGAGAAAAGTTTAGAAAGTCAAAACTAGAGGTGTTGAAGAATCCAGAAGATTAGGATTTCAGAGAACACAAAGAATAAATGCACCGGCGACATTGTGAACGATTTTGAGCCATGTCCTTCAAGGTCTCTAACCATCAATTATTATCATCTCACGGACCCCAAACAGGTAGTCGACAATTACCGACAGTATACAATTGAATGATGACAGTTTTAAGAATATTAAAACAATTATGATTGAAATTTTCTTTATTTACAAACATGATGAACAAATTTTCCAAAACTCCACCGCCTTTTTACTTGTCAAAACCTATCGGTTAATTAAACAATTAATTAATTATCCAAAATGCTATAATCAGTTATAATTAGTACTGGGATAAAGATGGATGTAAAATCTCTCTCCAAACGCGATGATATGGCTGAGTGTGGAGAATCTGCTTTTTCTCTCCAAATGCTCTCATATGTCAACGCGTATATAGTCACCAACAAAGAAGTCTTACTCATTGTCTTTTCGAGACGAAATGGAGAGGATGAAAGTAGAATGTTCAATACTGAAACAGGGTTGTTAGTAGGTATGGACGATCCACTTAGGGGAATGGAAAAACCCTGGTTCCAAAACAATGGTGCATATCGGCTGCGCGATCATAAGGTAAAAAATGGAGTATGAAACTCTTGTCAATCACCGGCTACCATCAGATCCCATCTCCTGACGTTGCTCCACTCGCTTGTAAATTATGCCTTTGGGTCAAAGGCTCGGGGAGTGGCTGTTTAGGAAAACCACCTGATTCGGCTTGAGTATTCAGGTAATTTTCCAACCCATTCGAAAATTCAATGATTTTTGTGGCGTATAAATAGTTATATTCCCCTTTGTATCAATAAAGGGAAAGGAATAAACCACAAAAGTCTTTATGTTAGTTACTTTATTAAATGTAGCCACAAAACTAAATTCATCTTTAAAAAGACGAGTAATGATGATGCAAATAATCGGTTGAAACATTGAACAGAGACAACAATGCAGTTTAGATAATCAAGTATCCTCAACTTAAAATTAATTTCATAAAATAAAATAACAGTGATAAATGGCGTTAAGTATTTAACAACGACGCAAAGTAATCATTATTCACTGAAAGAAAATGCAACTATTTTAATTTCTGGGAATAAGAATTTCAAAAGGTGTTTGTTAGATTTAAGGAGACAATGTTGTGGAATAGAGCATTGACTAGGGTGACGAAGATCATGATTATCTAATGGTCGTTCTCATTGGACATATTCAGCAAGGAATACTGAAAGTTACTGACAGGAATTTGAACAATACCATACATTCCTACAACCTCTATTCTGATAGTGAAAATCTTTAATTTGCTGAATGACAGAATTACAAGTTATAGTTTCAACTACAAGAATGGAGAAAGATGAAGAGTTGTGTGTCAAAATAAAATGACATCAAAACTCGTAGGCGAATAAAGTAATCATATATAAGAATGACAGATTAATGATCAAAAAATCATAGGATGATGCATATCAGCAATTTTATGGATAAGTAGATCTTTATCTAACATAATAATTGATCTATATTTTACAATGATATATTGTAAACCATCTTCCATATCTCAATTTTAAACAACACACATTCAAAAATAAAAATTCTTTGCCAAGGTTATCTGGAGGTATGTCTATAAGAATTTGAAGACAAACGATAATGGTAGATAGAAAAAAGGCTAGGCAATGATGATGAGATTTGATTCTGAAAAAAAGTAATCTGGAGTAGCTAGTGGCCAAATGAGAACGATGTTCATTTCTTGGCTGCCTCTATATCGTCGAATGATGTTTCGTCTTAAAGTACCTCAACAAAACAAAGTTAGGGATAATGTTGAGAATTTGACGTCAGTCAGTCCGTCAGTTTAACGAAGCATTCAAGAATCGACAAAATTTTTAAGTATGAATAAGAAATCACGATACTTTAAAAAAAAAGTGACTAACCCATTATTTACACGTAATCTTGGCGTTGTAGTAGCAAATATTAAATGTTCACCATCTGGTAACCATTGAACATTTGTTACATCGGTTGTTTTAAATGAAGATAAACGTTCATGAGTTGAAAAATCCCAAACACACATATCTCCTGTTAAATTACCTAATCCAGCTACTAATAATAGTAAACTATCAGAAAAATAAACAACAGTTAAGGTGTTAAAGCTTAAGAATTTTATGATTTTTTATTTTGACCACTTGAGTTTACAATAAAATTGGGTGCTTTTTTCTGTCATACGAAAACAAAAGTTACACATTTTTGAAACCATGAATCGATCAATGTTGGACCACCATCAGAAACCTGGAAGCACTGGACGGCCGTTTCGTCCTGGTATGGGACTCCTCAGCAGTGCGCATCCACGAATCCTGCACCCCGCAGGATTCGAACCCAGGACCTTCGGTATTATGCGCAAACGCCCTAACCGCTTCCAGGTTTCTAATGGTGGTCTAACATTGATCGATTCATGGTTTCAAAAATGTGTAACTTAACAATCTTCACAACCCCGTAATGAAAACAAAAGTGCCCAACAGAAAAATGATCATTTGTTTGAATTAAATACTTGTTAGCGGAATTTGTGTTGATATGATGGCCTATCAGATTGTAAAGAAATAAAACAAGATAAGTGAAAGCTTTTCCATCTTAGACAATTGAAGAAACTAATAGACCACTCTCTCAGCTAGCTGCTCATTAATCTAGAATCATAAAAATAAAAACCAGAATTAAGTTGTATGCTTGAAAATAAAGAAAATAAAAACAGTCAACAGAAAACAATTTTAAAAGTTTTTAAATGAGAAAGCTAACAAAGAGTTAGGCAAGGTTACATCATAAAAGAAGTTTAATTAGACTAGAATATCTAATACGAGTTGTTGTCTGCCCAGACACTATCAGCGACAACCCACTGTGGAAGAGAACAAACCAGATTTCAGGTGAATAAGGAAAAAGCGCTGAAGGTGGATAGGATACCCATTAACGGAAGCAATCGATCGCGTAGCAAGACTAATCCTAACTTGGAATCCTCAAAGCCAAAGGAAAAGGACAAGACCAAAGAACACAATAAGCAGAGAATGAGGAAGCAGACATCGAAAGGATGAACAACGATTGGGTAAAACTCGAATTGAGACCCAGGATAGAGAAGGATGGGGAATGCTGATCAATGATTTATGCTTGATGAGGGGTAACAGGCATAAGTAAGTGAGAAATTTACTGAAAGTAATTTATAACTTAAATTAAGGTTTCGTACAACCTCATCGATTGTCAAATTCATTTGCTTATCATTAGATGCAAATTAATTAGTAAATCAAACAAACAGAAAAAAAGGATATTATTTCCATGAGGATTAAAATGAATTTCATTCCATGGACCAGTACCGAAATCATGAACTGGTTCACAATTTAAATTGAATATTGTCACAGATGCTGGTGTAACTAAAAGAGATAAGAATAGAATAGAACAAAACAAGAATAAATTAGAAAAAGTTTTACTAATCATTATTTGATAAGATTATTAATGATATCATATACATATCTATATCTAATCTATAGATTAGTTGAAGTGATCACACTGAATATTGAAAGAATTAGAATACAAATTGGTTTGAGTGTATACATACTGGTGAATTATTTATAGATTGATATCATAATAAAAATTACGAACACGGTGTCTACTTTGTGAAGCCTCATAAAATTGACCAGTTTTGTTATGTTGATGATATTCAAATAATGAAGTTCAGATTTAATTAGAAAAAATTTCACTAAGGTTCCAAATATAAAACAGAATGAATATAAACTGAATGAAAATCATTTTAAATCAGTTTCTTAACAAGTGTAATAAATTTTTATTTTAAATTCTTGTATTGAGATTGAAATCTGTGATTATTTAATCATTAAACGCTTAATTCTCATCGATGTATAACTTTTTAGAATTTTTTGTCAATTTCAAATGATGCGCTGAAAATGGATGTTGTGATTTAAACAATTGATCAAGATTCAATTAAATAAAATCAACTTGATCATATTCATGACCAACTATAAGTAAGTGTACAACATCCATCATCTGGAACAAATGTATATTGATTCACAGATTAAAACAAATCATATATCATAAAAGAAATAAACACATGAAAAATAAACTTAGTACTAATTTTCAGAATATAAATAGTAACAATAATAATAATAATAGTCATCATTAAAACTAACAACAAGAACAGAGGAACAAAATAAATCAATGAAAAGTTTGAAATAACTAACTAAATGTCAAAACAACAAAAGAATGAAAACAATGAATGAAATGAATTTTGAGTTATTTCACATAAAATGTACATGATATGAACAAGATGAATATTGTTGAGGTGAGAATAATTGGTTGTGCAAATAATTTTGTTCATTATGATTTTGTTACTTAAATTACTGAATAATCACATTACTATGTATATATCTATATTCCAATTATTATAAGCTTTTAGTGAATGCGTTAACCAATGTCCATCTTTAGAAACCTGGAAGCACTGGACGACCGTTTCGTCCTGGTATGGGACTCACCAGCAGTGCGCATCCACGACTCCTGCACCCCGCAGGATTCGAACCCAGGACCTTCGGTACTGTGCGCGAACGCCCTAACCGTTAGACCACTGAGCCGGTATCTAACGGTGTTAATGTCTAACTTGATCAAATTCACGGAGTTGCGCAACCTCATACCCTGTCTCTGGTCTGAATCCTGCGAGGTGCAGGAGTCGTGGATGCGCACTGCTGATGAGTCCCATACCAGTACGAAACGGCCGTCCAGTGCTTCCAGGTTTCTAATGATGGTCTAACATTGATCGATTCATAGTTACAAATAAAACTTAACAATCTTCAGAACAACCCCATAATGTCCATCTATTATTTACAGCCTCTCTAATCTCAGCCACCTTTTGGCTTGTTTATATTTAATCCTTATTATTAACTTTATGATATGATGCGATCTTATATATTTGTATATAAACTGCATATGTTGAAATACAAACATAGTAGAGGTTGGTTACTACATCTGGACTCAACGTTGAGCATATAGAGATCAGCTAGCGTATGGTGGAGCACTAAGAAGCTGGTTGTCGGTGTAATTTTAATAGTGTTAGTAGGGTGTATACTTGATCAGGTCAGAGATATTAAGGTTAAACAACTGACTAAATTAGAATTATGATTCTGTCTTCAGACGGGGTACGTGATGATGATGTTAAGCTGGGTTGTAAAAGAGGTAATGACAAAGAGAAGGGTTGATACAGATTCATATCAGCAGCTGGTGGTGGCCATGTTAAAGCAAGGTCATCAGACAAATCAAGAACAGAATATCAGCAAGACTAGACAGTTAACCAACTGAAAAGAAATCCTACGCTCTGTTAAGAAAGATTTAGAAAGAAGAACAACATTCGCAAGGGAAAGAGCAAGATACTGATATACAACACAGCAATCATCAAACAAGTCACACTTGATGGTGAAGTTCCGGAAGAGATGAGAATCTTTATGTGTCTGGGAAGAGCTAACGATAAACAAGGAAGGTGTGTGTGGGATATACTGTGTACAAATCATCAAATTGGATCACAAGACAAACTATAACTTGGAATATACGAGGCGAAAGTAAACACAGGCGCACCAAAGAACACATAGTGCGGGGAATCCGAATTTTATATCAAGATCAAAAATGTTACTTTGGAAATAAGAACTCAAAAGAAAGAGAGCGAGAGAGTTATTTAAAGATCTATAATAGGTAACCTATATCCACATCAAGAAGGGGCAGAATACTTAAATAAGAGAGTAATATGTATAAGTTCATATTAATTGTTTATTTAGTAAGTAGAAAAATCGTTAATACAATCAACGCAGCAGTAAATATTTTCAACAAAAACACTTACTTACATCCATAACAAACAACAAAATATTCTTCAATTTTTTTATTTTTATTCTTTTTCATTATAGATGATGAATAAGTTGTTGGTTGAAAAGCAATTTGATAAATTGGACCTTTACGTGGCATTGGAACAGTTGCACTATCAACTGATCGACTAGCTGATATAAAATAAAGACCTTGATCACCATAATAGCTGTCATCACTAAGCTATGAAAAAAAACAGTGGGAAAATAAAAATTGAGAATCTCAAAAGATTTTTTTTAAGAAAGAATACCAGATTCAATTACACATTTTCGTAAAATCATCATTCGATCAATGTTAGATCATCATTAGAAACATGAAAGCATTGGATGGCTGTTTCGTCCTAGTGTAGTGAACGAGAACACAGGTGGGGCAACCTGATTGTATTTAACGAAAATTACAGCGTTACTCAGTAAAATTGGAAAACCATATCGTAAATCGTTAATTTGCAAAATATCAGTTCATCATATCGAACTGGACTGTTCCTGTTGCAAAACATCAATCGATTGTCACTATTCATGCGTTTCATACAAATTCCATTGTTTTCTAACTCTTCCTTTATTGATCTTCCCCCATATTCTGCTGCCAGACATTACGTTGACACTCACGTCATATACTACTTATAAGTAGCTCACACCACACTAGTATAAGATTCATCACTAGTGACTAGTTTCATGAGAAGCCGTGAGTAGTGAAGTTAAACCCTATCGAGTGTAGGCAGTAGTTACCTAGCGAAGACAATGGGTAAGATTGCGCGCAAACCTTAGATCGATCAAAGTTACACATTAACACCGTAAGATACCGTCCTAGTGATCTAGAGGTTAGGCGTTCGTGCCCATGAGGGGGGTAATTCGTGGGTGAGCACTGTTGACCAGTCTCGGTACTAGGACGAAACGGTGGTCCAGTACTTCCAGATTTCTAATGGTAATCCAACACTGAACAATTCATGATATCAATGATACTCAACAATCTTCACAAGTCTATAATGAATAGTATTCTAGTGAATGAGTGGTTCAATCCAATAACAAATTGAAATCAGTAATCAGTAGTAACGTTTTAGAATTCATCTCAAGATTTCTTACAAGTGTACAATTATAACAATGAATAAATAGTATGAAATATTTAAGATTTGATGGAAAATATAATGATTGAGTAATCATTTTTTCTTCTTAAACAAAATGCTGTCATGAATTTACTTAAACATTAATCAGTACATAGTATATTCGACCTTATTAAATGATTTATCATCAACTGTGTATAAACTTTAAAATTATATTATTTAATTTTCTACTTTTTTTTTCAATTGTACTGTTAATAAAACACGTGACTATTAGTATTATTTAACCTAGTGGTGACCTGTAAACAAGACACATAGAATAAATCCTTGATGTTTGTTTGTAAATCAGAAAGTACAAGATATATTTTCATTTATTGATGGATGATAGACAGTAATCATTCCTTCGTGGTGAATAGTTAACAAAAAAGTATAAATAAACTCAATTTGTGTGCTTTGTGAACCTCATATTTTCTGGTTGCTTGTAGAATACAATAGACTTTCTACGTCTTGTCAAGACTACTTCTACCTCTACTTATAGTGGAGCCTTGGAACACTTGGATTAGAGGAGTCTATCGTGTCACTGGATCGTTTTGTCTTTGCTTTCGTTTACCGACGACTAAGATGAACTTGTAATAGTTTCAAGTATATCAACTAGTTAGTGGCAAGCATAACAGGACGATCTACGCTACCTCTTAACAATAAACTATAAATAGAAACCTAATAATGAAAAACTACTCATGTTTAAAATGTTTCCATAAGAAAAATTCAATATAGGATCAATAGATTATATGGTTTTTATTTCATTTGTACATAGTAGTGAATGATTATTTGGCAGGTATGACCTGATTTGTGTATAGAAAACACTGCAAACACATTGAAATCTAATTAGCATAATAACATTAGAGAGAAAGAAAAACTCATGATTTATTTTTCTTTGATCATTATTATCATCGAATGGTATGTTTGAACTAGGCTTCATCATCTGATCTGATCTGATCTGATTTAAATAGTCATGTAGTATAACTAGTCTTCATCAAAGAAAAATGTAGCTGAAAGCCACATATAAGAATGCAATTGAATTTCTGTTATTATGTAGAAGTATTTGAGATTTTGCTTATGAAAAAGTAGGCAGAAATCTAGTAGTAATTAACCTTAATATCCTGGTACAGAAGGGAGTGTGGGAAGTAAGCTCTCCTTCTTAAATGCTCTCATATTTCCTCGCGTACATAACCGTCGTTAGAGAAATCCTACCCACTCACTACCTTTTCGAGACGGAGGTGTCGTCTTTGAAGTTGAGAGGAAGAAAGTCCCATGTGCAGTACTGAAATCGGGTTGGTGGGTATAGACGATCCACCTGGGGGAATTGAAAAACCCTGATTCCAAACCAATGGTAAACATAGACCCCACGACCAGGAGGAAATAAATGGAGTATAAAACTCTAGTTGGTCACGGGCTACCATCAGATCCCATCTTCTAACGTTGACTCAATGTCTTGTGGATTATAGCTTTGGGTCAAGGGCACGTGGAGTGGCTCCCTAAGAAAAACACCTCATTCAGTTTGAGTACTCGGGTAATTTTCCAACCTATTCGAAAATTTAATGGTTTGTGTGGCGCATAAATAAGTAACAAATAAGGTTTGGCATCATCATTCAAAAGGAGAGCACTAAAGAACTGTTTTAATTTCAATTATGATTTGTTTATCAGTGTGACATCTTGTTATTAGTGAACACTGTTGATGAGCCTCATCCTTGGACGAAACGGCCGTCTAGTGCTTTCAGGTTTCCGATGGTGGTCTAACATTGACTGATTAGTGATTTTAATGAAACTCAACAGTCTCCACAACCCTATAGCGAAAATAATTATTAAAACTATAACTTGGTGATTTAATAATGTTGTAATTACCAGGAAAACTGAAAGTTATATGTACGATTTGACGTGAGGTGGTGGATAAACACTAAAACGTAGTACTAATCCACTCTCACGGACTCCGCAAAAATATCAACCAACACCAAAATCAGAATTTTCAATACAAATGTCAAGACAACTCTACTGTAAGGGGCGGAAACTTGGAGAACTACGATAGCCATCATCCAGAAGATACAAGTATTCATCAACAGTTGTCTACGCACAATAATTCGCATGCGTTGGTCAGACATCATCAGCAACAACCTACTATGGGAAAGAACAAACCAGATTCTAGTGCAGAAGGAAATCATGAAGAAGCGGTCGAAGTGAATAGGACACACACTACGAAAAGCACCCAACTGCATCACAAGGCAAGCCCTCACTTAGAACCCTCAAGGTCAAAGGAAAAGAGGAAGGCCAAGAAACATATTACTCCGAGAAATAGAGAACGATATGAGAGGAATGAACGAAAATTGGACAGAACTGGAAAGGGAAGCATAGGACACATTCGGTTGGGTAATACTGGTCAGCTGCCTATGCTCCATTGGGGAGTAACAGGCGTAAGTAAATAAGCAAGTGAGTACTAATGCGCTCAATAGTATCTGGGCTTTAATGATGCCTCGACTGTTATCAGCAAGGGAGAGAAATTTTTGAAACTTATTAAATCAAAAGGATATTTATTGAAACAAACGTTACATAAAAAGACTGTGTAGTAAATTAGTAAAAAAGTAACCAATCACCAACTAAGTTTATCCCTAGTTTACGTTAAAACTATATAGTTAGAGAGAGAGAGAGAGAGAAAATCTCTCACTTAGAAATCAATTGTACAGTAAATAAATGTTGATTTCAATCACATGTTATCTATTTTTTTACATGAGAGTATACATCTATGAGCGATTATTGAACACGATGAAAGTAGGTATTGTATAGAAAAGGTGGTTGGCTAAGTTATGACATAAAACAATGTTAAAGGATCAATTAAAAACTTATCTATACAACGGTGAAGTAACATTGCTTTTTTGAAAGTTATTAAAGCGATTGAGATGTATAATTGAAGATGGTATTTATCATGCAATGATATCATATAAATTATTTTTGCAATATATTAGAAAACACTGAACAGGTGTTTCGTATTAGCATATGACTCATCAACAATCTTAAATCTACGACATTAAAAACACAAGGTCAAGGTTTAAGCATGGATTCCTGGATATTAAGCTCAATGATCTAGAAGTTAGGTGTTCATCGTCGGATCTGAAGGCCCCAGTCTGATTGTTGATGGAGTCGTAATATCAGTAATGTAACACAGAACAGTATAATTTTTCGAATAAGTCCTAGTTTCCAATGGTTCTTTCATTGTTTTAATGAATACCACTAATAAATCAAAGTAATCTTCAGAAAAGCTTTTAAATAAAATAAACTATTTACGTTCTTGAAGAACTATGTCGTACAAATTTTTGTGTGACGCTTTCGGTTACACTACTAAATACACATAACCGCTACCATCCATAGTGATTTTATGGCGGGATCGTAGTAAACTGTGAAGTAATCACTGCCAACCAACGAAACCACCATATTACAACTATTTAACATTGGCAGTGTATTCAATGAATGGTTCCAAGTTTCTGTTAACTATAAAGAAGTATGTGAAGATAGTGTGGAATGCTGTTGATTTATGAAGATGCAAATATTTTGAATAGATCACGTGCTTTGTGTAATTTATAACAAAAGGCACAGAACCGCAAAGCCGTTATAACAAAGAAAGAACGTAATATGGTCATTAATTACAACTTGGTGTATTAAACTTTAGTTTAGACTTATTCTATAAGGATTGGAATGCGTAATTTATGTTGAAAGACAAGTTCTATGTGAACCGTAGGAAAAAAATCTTATAATGAAAATGATTATAAGTCTTAATGAAATATTATAAATTAGGAGATAAAATATATGTCAGTAAATATAAGGAACTTGAGAAAATAGATTTCATTCCTTGGATTATTGTATAAATTCTTAGGCTACTAAGAAACAGATTATATAACTTTTTATGCCTATAGAGATGTACTGAATAAAAACTCATTTCATTTTCGGCATAGAATTGTGAAGATTGTTGAGTTTCATTGAAATCATGAATCGATTATTGTTAGACCACTAACAGAAAACTGGAAGCACTGAATGACCGTTTCGTTCTAGTATGGGACTCATCAACAGGGCGCAAATCTACGATACCCTCTCGCGACAACTGAACCAAAGACATTAGGTCTCGCCTTAATCTTTAGTTCACTAAGCTGGGAACCATTTCAATTTATGACGAAACGGAATGTAGAACAAAAGTTTTTAAATTCTGCTGCTGGCCAAATTCCATCTATTCTATACAAATTTGTGTCATAATGGCTAATATCAAGGCGAAACGCATAGGATGTCCATATGACAACGAAAAGTGGTCAAATTTCAGTAGAAATATGGACAACAAGCTAATCTAAACTAAAAAAAGAAATGAAATGGACTAATATATTAAAGCTGGAAGGAACATCGTCTTAAATTTACCCTCTATGGTAGTAGTAAATTTAAAATAATGTGATTGAAACACACGACTTTACTAATCTCCTAAAACAAACATAAACCAGTAAAAAGATAGAGAATATAAATAATTCTATTATTTTTATTCCAAAAATCTGATTTCGTTAACTAAAGTTGCTTGAGAGTTGGGAAATTATCTTCAGTCATTGATTTAGAAGACAATGGGTCCAGAGTGAAACAACCGGTAGGAAAAGACATGAAGAAAGATCACTTATATATCACAACTCATAATTGATTTATAAACCAGTGGAATCCAATAAGTACCTAGCACATGACTCCTGGGCAGACTGTATTCATGATTTAATCACAATCTTGGGGTTACACAAGATGTGCTTAATATTTAAAGTATTGAGCTGGGATTTACTAGCTTATCTTTCTAAATTCGATTGACTTTTGACACTGCACAACTATCATTCCATGCTATTGATGAGTAACTCTCTGTTTAACATTCAACGTAAATACACACACTGTTGGTCACAGCTTCTTATCAGAACTCCAGAAAATATCTCTTAACATTATTAATCACTTAAAAAGCACGTGATTATTTTTAATAATGTAAAAGTCAATGTGTGTGTGTGAATATAACCTATGAAATGCAAGAATTTCCACAATACCGTCGTCAACAACATATTCAAGGTGAAATAAACAAATAATCTGGCATTTGATAAAATTTTAAGAATAATTTTAAGAATAATTAAATATGCTACTTTTGTTGAAGTAAGTATGAGTAAATCAGTGCCTTTATCATTCCATAATAATCGGACTGTATCAGCACGGAAAAATGATTTATTCGCTGTAGGAATTAGCTGATTATCACGGCATTGATAAACTCTGACAAAAGAAGGTAGGCTCTATTGGGGGAAAAAAACAGTAAGAAAGTAAAAGATTAAAAATTTTAAGATAGATTAAATACTAACATAAATAGTATCGCATAATAAACGCACGGCTTCTTTTACTGCCTAATAATATATACTTTAAATTAAAAATTCTTTGTCCAAGAAGTCTCTATACCTTTATACAACTAAGAAATGATACCAGAATATAGTCTTATCATTCTTGGATGTCTTCAACATAGTACATTAGCCATGTTTGTTTGAAACGGAACTTAAGATTGCCTTTTCGGTAGTCCCACTAACCTTGGTAGTTCCACCAAGATATTCATGATCGAATAATTATGACCTCCAGTTTTAATGACCACGCCTAATAGGCCGGGTAGCATACAAAGAGCTGATTAGTGGACGAACCTCTTCCTAACAGACAGAGACTGGAGGAGTTTTAGTAAAAGTATTGTGGCACATACCAAGGTAAAACAGCCTGGAATTAAAAATAGTGGTTTTGTATGCTGCAAACAAATTAGATAGTAAAACAAGACAGTTGGTATTAAATCTTGGTCTCGGTAGATCGTTCTGGTGGAAGTTTATTGTCGCAAATGCACTTATACCCATCATCAACATAAACGTTTTACATTTGAAATTAATAGTAAATCATAAGCGTCATCAGCTAATTACTCCCAATGGAAAAACGATGATTAGAGAAGTCATTATCAACTCAGCGTCTGTGAGTTTGAAAGTAGGAGATAGACTTCAACATGCTTTTGCTAACCTACTAGTAAGGTTTCTGGGGGCATACAAAAGGTATATATTCCTATTCAGATGTTAAACACTCTGCTGCCCATCATATTATCACAGAGAGTTCACCCGTCGGTGCTAAACCCACTTAGATTGGATCCAAATAAAATGGAGATAACCAAAGAAGAATTGGGTAATTTTTTGACAATGGTCATACTACGTTCTTCAAACAACCCATAATCCTCTACTTTGCAAAAAGAATGGAGAAATTCGATCATTAACGGATAGATATCCTATATCATATTCAAGATCATAATAGCGAAATACACGAAACTACTCATATTCTCCATGAGTGACTTGATTCAGGCGTACTACAATAGTCTACAATCACTAAATATTACGAAAATACCGATGACCAATACAGTGCAAACATTAGTAACAAGCACAATGACTGAGGAATGAATTTCAGTAAAAAAAAAATGCCTTAAAATTTCTCGAATAAGTATTAGTAGATCCTTAAACCACCACACACCCGTAACAATGGTGATCAACGAGTACCATATATGTTAGATTATTCTAAGAAATTATTCACTAAACAACTTGAATAAACGATTCAACAGTATACAAATGATGTCAGTTAAGAAAAAACAAAGTACATTATACATATGAATGTATCGTTTTTTTTTTCATGTTACCTTTTCTCCAGGTATATACACAGCAAGATTTGGATGAATTGAAGTACTCATAGAAAAATGTCGAATACCTTTTAATGATAATTTAGTACATGGTTTTTCAGCTAAACCAAAAAACAAAAATAAAGATGAATATAATGAATGCATAAAGATACTTTCAAATTAAAACAAAACATTCGAAATTTCAACTGGAAATTTAATACATTTTAGGCCATTTTATTTAAACAAATTTTACCGGGAAATTTAATTTGATTGTGAGTCAGAGATGTGTACACTGAAAATAAGTATTGATCATTGATATATATATATACATCAAAAAAATCTAATTTTATTACAGAAACTATATTTACAACTTTTAATTGATCAGACAAAATTTGAATATTGAATAAGTGAAAATATGTATAAAATTTGCGCCTACATAATAAATCACTTCTTTACTAATATATGAGATATGAATTGACAATTCCATCACTCTGTGCTAATATGATATGACAATTTGGATTAGTATACGTACGTACGTACCGAGTTTTACATTATGACTGATTGACTTAAACCACTTCCAATAAACACATAAAATACACAATATAGTTCTTATTGTATAACAGTGTATGTGTCATAAGGGTACACATAAATTAGTTCACAACCAATGTTTGTTTTGATTGTTTATAAAAGATAAGGTAAGAAAAAGTACGACACATGTGAATTCAGTTGTTTTTGGTGAAAATCAATCCGTATATTTCTAATAATATTCTTATTCAGTGTAACTGAATAGTAATATTTTTTTTCGACTGTGATAATTATAAGTTACACATTTTTGAAACCATGAATCGATCAATGTTAGACCACCATTAGAAACCTGGAAGCACTGGACGGCCGTTTCGTCCTGATATGGGACTCCTCAGCAGTGCGCATCCACGACTCCTGCACCCCGCAGGATTCGAACCCAGGACCTTCGGTATTGTGCGCGAACGCCCTAACCGATAGACCACTGAGCCGGTATCTAACGGTGTTAATGTCTAACTTGATCATATTCACGGAGTTGCGCAACCTCATACACAGTCTTCGGTAGTTACTGTCTACACCCGAACAGGTTGAACTTCACTGGTCACGTCTTCCCACTAGAACTCGGAGAAGATTCCTCACGAAGCTAGTCACTAGTGAGCACAGGTAATTTGCATTACGGGGTTGTGAAGATTGTTAAGTTACACATTTTTGAAACCATGAATCGATCAATGTTAGACCACCATTAGAAACCTGGAAGCACTGGACGGCCGTTTCTTCCTGATATGGGACTCCTCAGCAGTGCGCATCCACGACTCCTGCACCCCGCATCCACGACTCCTGCACCCCGCAGGGCGTTCGCGCACAATACCGAAGGTCCTGGGTTCGAATCCTGCGGGGTGCAGGAGTCGTGGATGCGCACTGCTGAGGAGTCCCATATCAGGACGAAACGGCCGTCCAGTGCTTCCAGGTTTCTAATGGTGGTCTAACATTGATCGATTCATGGTTTCAAAAATGTGTAACTTAACAATCTTCACAACCCCGTAATGTAATTATAAGTTGTCAGTAATTAATGTAACCTGTGAAAATATTTAATCACAGCTCAAGCTCATTAGAAAGAAAATTATTGTTAAGGTCATATGATATAAGTTCCAAAAGCTTTTGTTCAGGATAATAATCAGTCAGTCAGCTACAAGGTAGAACTTCGTAAATGAGTACATAAGTTCAGGTTGACATACCCCATCAACACACAGACGCAACTGTCAGTAGCGATAGCAGAAGTATTAGCAGTAATGGACAAAATTACGGTTCGAAGATACGATTCAAGAAGTATAACTCAGTAAGATAAGTTTAGAAATAGGAAGATTTCGATGATGAGGAAGGTTAGAATTTGAGAGAACACAATGAATGAATGCACCTCCGCATCATTGTAAACGATTTTGAGCCATCACATTCAAGGTCTCTAACCATTGGTGACATACGTCTCGCGGACCCCAACCAGGTAGTCTACATCTACCAACATGACTCAGTCCTCTTGTCAATGACTTCATAGATTTGGGCCGTGTCTTGGTTTAGATGCCCCTAGCATTCTTCCCACCTAATCCTACACCACAAAACATAGCTCATCCAGGCAGACGGTTGTTTGGCATTCGTAACACAAGTCCCAACCACCTCAAATGATGAAGTTTCAATTCTTCATCCATCGATCTGCCATCCTTACCTAATACTCATTTCCTAACTATAGCATTGCTTACTCAGTTGTCCCAGGATACACGAGCAATGTTTATAAGACATCTATAATCGAATACCAGTAACCTACGAAAATCTTCCAATCTTACTGGCAATATTTCACAGCCATAAAAAAGAACGGAGCGAACTACAGCGCAGTAGACTCAACCTTTAGTAAGCCTACACCATAAACGACGTAATTTGGCAAAAGCCATTAGAGCCTTCTCTATCCATGCTGGAAGATAATAATCAAAACTCCACAATCAAACCAACAAGTTCATAGAACGTATAGACATAATCATATATTGATCAGTGTTATTAATCTGAAAATCACATTGATCTTATATGGTTATTCAAAGAAAATTTCAACATCATAAAACTAGGAAAAAAAAGCATGAAAACTAGGCTAACTAAATAATATAAATGGTAAGTTGACAAACAAAATTAGAGAATATATGATGATATTTTAGGAATTGCTTATCAATAATTCATTCGATACAAATCTATGTTTAAATGCACTGAATCATGTATAGTATCCAAACTTTCTACATGTATAAACAAAACAATTACATCAAAATTTCAGAGAATGTACCAACATATATAAATATATATCGTTGACAAATAACTAGGTAAATATTAGACTACTCACTAGTAGTATAAAATTTATAACTAAAATAAGTTGATAGTACACAAAATCCGAGAAGAGAATTTTGATTGAAAATGTCTACAGGATTAGACAGACTGAGTTACACAGACCATTCAGTACTTGTCCGTGGGAAAGATTTAATTTATAAAAGTCAACAGCGACAGCACCACGAAAATCAAATCAAGACTGCATCAATAAATGATGAAATAAAAGTTGTTTGTAGGGATTTTCGACAGTTCTTTGAAGGAATTAATTGCGATATTACGACAAATATCATATTGAAGAAATTGGCAAGTTTTTTAAAGTACTACTCGTTACTTTTAATTCGAATCAAGCTGTAGTATATGATTTAGTGTTTCGAAATCCTAGGATATTTGGTAGAGAAAATGCGACTAACCAACAGTCGATTGCTGTGCGATAATAAAAATGTCCACTTTGGATTAATTCAGGACTTTATATCGCAATTCAAAATGTAAACTGTTTTAACCAAGGTTTACAATTCTGAATTTGACCAATTCACGATATCGTCTAATGGCATCGCACTCGAACTCTGAGAAGTACCTCTAGAAACTGATCAACAGTGAAGAGACGGTTGCTATCCATTTGTAGGTTTAGTGACTAATTTCACTACTACTGTAACAAAAGTTGACCGATCTAGCAAAATTAAATGCAATTTTCACACGAAAACTTACAAAACTGATTGTTTGTATACATATGAATTTCTCCATTGACGAAAATTGAGCACAATGATGAGTCTGAATTCCATTGTGGTTGCCTAGTAAAATGATATATGAGGGAATAAATGATTGATTATATAAAGGATAGAAAAGTTATCATGCTGACACGTGGATGGTGAAATCACACATTGATGTTTGTCAATACACACTTTCGGGAAAACGTAGCCTTATCAAGGAATACTTGGGTGGTTCATTTAATTTACCTATTTGAGTTTGGTTTACAAATAGCCTAGTAAGATCACACCAATAAAAACAAGTTAGTTTATATTAGGAAAAAGTTTATGTTAGCAGACATTAGAAAGCCGGAGTAATTAAAACTTCAATTAGGGTATCCGAAGATAATAATTTTTTTATCATGGAATTCTCAAGAGGATATTTGTAGGTCACTAATAATTGGCTACATATTCCTTCGAAATATTGGTCACATATGTTAGGAACACTGAGTTGACAATTTTGAAATGAGATACAGAGTACTAGATAAGGATGAATATCTATCGACTGAGATGGTTTGTACATACATGTATTATATATGCCTGTTAACTGCCTAACGGGTGACAATAGCTAGTGAAAGAGTAGGTTGGAAGATACGAGAGAGCAAACAAAATATAACATCAGTTCATGAAGTCACTAATTGTTAAAATGAGCCATTCGGATGGATGCCAACTACCTGGTTAGAGTCCGCATGATTATCGTAACAAGTCGTTAAAGACATTGGATAAAATACCTCAAAATCACTTGTAATAGGGTAGCTGCATTAACTTTTTGTCTTGCCTTAGACTCCAAGTTCCCAAATTACCTTATAAAATCTTTATTATTGCACTCATTCATATTTTTTACATTCAAACTTTTTTCTTATCACTAGTTTTATTGCTATCTTTACGACTCTGAAATTTACACTAGTTATTCCATCTAGAAGTACTAATCGAGTGTGCCAACCTGAACTGATAAACACACACGTAAAGTTCAACACTGGGTATAGTTGACGGATTTATCAACTTTCTACAACACAAGAAACACCTATAATCTCATATACAACTCTTGATTTGTGTCAACGTGTACATACATACACTTTATTTATTTGCAGATAGTTTTCAACACTCTATTTCTTTCTTTAGAATAAATACGACAAGTATAAATAATATAATCCAGGAAATAACTGGTCTATAATTTAACTGACATGCAGGAATACCATTAGAGAATGAAGTATGCTATAATGTGTGTTACGTATATTGGAATAAAAGGAGGTCACATTTGTTATTTGCTATAATCTTAGTTAACAATAATATGTGTACTACATAAAAATCTTTACTACCAACAATTCAGTTATATTATTGAGCAAAAAAGTGGTTCAATGACTAATTTTCTGTAAGAAGAATGTATGATAAACTAAATGTTTTATAGCTCAACGAATTACAAATAAACAATCAGCTGTATTTTTATTTGTGTTAAAAAAACTAATTTTAAGTGTATTGAATAGTATGCATTATTCATATATATAGTATATATCAACTTACCATCCATCACCTCGTCGAAAAATATATTCTTTCAATTTTATTCCATTGACCATATCATATACAAATACATTTGGTAAACCAGATGGATTTTCACTGTCCACTATTGTTCATTAAGATCAAATTTACAAAACTAAAGAATAAAACTTACTTTTGAATGACGTGTATATGAATCCAAACTTACCACAAGGTGATAGTTGGATGCGTAAAGCTGATTCAACAGGAATAGTGGAAATGGTAGTACAGTCGTTCGCATTAATAAGAACCACTCTGTAACTTATAAGACAAAATTGAATAATCCTTACCCTGTTTGATCAAGGTAACCCACGCGCATGCTTGATTTTGCGATGGATAAACATTTCAGAGTTGTAGATGGTTTGCTAAGCGAATTATTTATTCAGAATATTCAAGCTTACTGTTCCAAATGAATTATTCCTTTATTTTCATCTAATTCGTATATTCTTAATCCATCAGTGGCCCAACCTTAAGTACAAGTTAAATCTCAATGAAACACTTACTGACAAATACCATGATTGTATATGACACTGTTGAATATAATCTTTTGAGAATCAACCACTAGCTAAGAGATCAAAATCTTTTCTAAAATCAATATGACATGAAGTGATCAAAACAGCTATAGAAAAGGCTAATCAAAAGTTAACCTGCAATATACAGAATGAACATTATTTTAAATCTGAAGATGTTTAACCTCATGGTTTATCTGAATAATGTATATCAAGGTAAAAATCTGATAATCCTAACCAATATTAGCAACTTTATAACTGTTCGAGCTATTTATAGTAATATAGATGATTAAGGAATGAATGTGAGAACTGAATAGACTTATATGTTGTTTTTTTAGCAGTTTTTATGATTGCATTCATTTTTTAAACTCTAAAAGTTAAAACATTTCAAAAACCCCCGGCTATCATTGATTTATTTATTCAATTCACATAAAATCTAGTAATACCCAATAATGAAAAATAATATATGCCACACAAATTAAAGAAATAGTTGTGAAGAAACAAGTAATGGAGAAGGCATGTGATCAGAAAAAGGATAAGTGAACAAGAGTGAGATATATTAAGATTTCCAGTCAGGTTAAAAATACAATCAAGGGAGAACGTTTTAGTTCAGGAAGCTTCCAGGGTCGGAAAATAATCCACGATTTGAAAATAGTGAGTATGACATTCACAGAATTTATACACGCTAATGAAGCCGGCATTTCAAGATAGTGACACCAACCAGATCGTCCTCATAGTGCACGAACATATATTATTGTACTTTAGCGCTAGCACTAGAAGTCACCAACCCTTCGGAGACATGGATGGCCAAACAAAAAGAATTATCAAACGTACTCTATATAGAGGTCCTGTTGTGGAATTAGAAATCAAAATTACACTCAACGGCATATTTTTAACTTGACCTTTTACAGGTAGGTTAGGATCATAATGATTTTACAAACAGACCAGATTAGTACAAGCCACTTTAGATCTTAATATGAGTAAACAGATATTATTTGTTGTATCACTATTAACGCTCATACAACTCTATTCAGATACACGAACGTTTCGGTCTTTTATAACGGAACATCATAAAGAATGAGTGACGACAATGGCTTCGGATAGATGTTCGTTTTCTACTTGTAATTTTTGTTAGCAACACCGCTTCATGTAAAGGCGGTATGTAGAGATTACCAAGCAGAGTTTATCGAACTCTTGGTTGTATGATAGCACCTCGAGAGAGAGAAAGTGAACTATCCCGACCCTCAGCGCCACCAAGCTATTTTCTTCTCCTCTCATTTAACTTATTTCAACATACAATAACTACCGACTGATTTCGTGAATTGCTAAGCTTTGATTTCACTACAACGGAGTTTTCAGTTTCGGAATTTAGTCAGCTACTAAGTAAGTCGGTTATTTAGAATAAATAAGTCACCGCGACTAAATCCAACGAGTGTTTACCATTTTGTTTGGTAACTGATTCACCTAATTAACAGCCTCTGGTTAAACTTTATAACGAACGATATATTAACATACGTGATAGATTGGGAACAGGTTAATAAATCAGGCTTTCTCGTGATAAGTTGATGAGATTAAGTAAGCTAAAATCAAAGTTTGTAAACTAACTCAAAAAAAATAATACGCCAGTAAATACTGTAAGTGAAAGTATAGCTGCGAAAAATTTACGCTGACTGGCGAACGCGGAGGACTGTTAGACAGTTATGAGAAAATGAACTCCCATTAAACTCGAATGAGCGTAGGTCGATTAAATCCCTGAAATTTTTACTAATTTATTATGATTATCATTGCTGATTTTCAGAAATTACAATCAAACTATTATCGGTACAGGAATGGACTTGTATGGATGTGAATAATTTTTGTCTTTTATTATAAAAAAAAATCTTCAAAGGATCATTCCATCTGACAGTGTCTGTCCACAGTCAGCATCAACATAGTACTTTGTACGTACATACATCAGTTCAAGTTGCCATACCACATTAGCACAGAGACATCAAATCGTCAGTTCAAACCCCATAGTAGCTAAGGTAGTAGAAGTATTAGTAGTAATCGGAGAGATTAGGGTTCAACGATATTATTCAAGAAGTATAATTTAGTGAAAGATACTTAAAAAGAAAAAGGTGATGAGGAACTCCGAAGGTTAGGATTTCAGAGAACACAAAGAATAAATGCACCAGCGCCATTGCAAACGGTTTTGAGCCATGTCATTCAGGGTCTCTAGCCATCGATTACTAACATTTCGCGGACCCCAACCAGGTGGTCGACACCTACTAACAATACTCAATCCAGCTGTCAGTGATTTCATGGATTTCTGCCATGTTTTGGTTTGGCCACCCCTAGCTTTCTTCCAATCTATTCCTAAATCGCAAAACATTTCGGCGATGCAGTCGGTAGGTAGGCATACGTTACACAAGTCCCAACCATCTCAACTGACGAAGTCTCACTACTTTCTCGATTGATCTTCCACCCTTACCTAGTACCCGTTTCCTAACGACAGAATTGCTTACTCCGTTGTCCCAGGATATACGAGCAATGCTTCGGAGACACCTATGATCGAAATCAGCGCACTGCTGCGCAGTACATTCGTCCTTTGGTTAGCCAACAGATATCTCGACTACGCCTTAGGTGACGCAAGTTGGTAAAAGCTAATCGAGCCTTCTGTGTCCAAGTTGAGATTTCTTCTCACACCAGGACATCAGCACTAACAAGACTCCTGAGTTCAGTGAAGCGGTTGACATACTCAACTACTTCACTCCCTATCACTAGTTTAGGTACCGATGCATCCCATTCTTGAAGCAACATTGTGCATTTCGAGGGGGAAAACCGCATCCCGAATATCTAATACCAGTTTCTCTTATAAGGAGGAAAAGTTGTCTACTGTTGCCAGTTGCCACTGCCTTTTTCATCACTTGCTTTCGCCACCCACCACTGTTGGCTGTCGTTTCTTAGGCTATTTATCATTCTGCGCTTAAGGTCACTTCGCTCTTCATCATGTTCAGAGCCAGGCGGGATGAGTTTACGAGCGTCTATCAGTTCAATGGATGCTATTGAGACCCACGGCTGCTTTCTGGCTTTATGCTTTACCTTACTACAAGATAACACTGCTGTTTCTACAGCCCTTTTGATGTCATTCCAAAAAAGCTCCGGATGGAAATCACTTACACGACCGCCTAGCAGTTTTTCTAGTTATTCCTGAAACATTTTCTTAGCTTGATTATCATTAAGTAAAGCCCTAAGAAGCTTGTTTACGGTGTTTTTCCTACGTCCAGTAAGTCGCAAACAAATACAAGCTCGCACTAGAGCATGATCTGAATCTAAACATGTGCTCCAGAACAAGCGGCAGTCTTCTATCGAACCCCTCCATCGGTGGCTGATGGCAATATGATCTAGTTGGGTCCAGCGTTGGGACGACTTCGGGGGTCGCCAAGTCGAAAGATGCTTTTCCTTATGCCTAAAGTTAGTGTTTGCTAGAAATAGCCGGTTATCTGAGCACAGTTGCAATAGACGGTGGCCATTATCTGTTTTCTGAGCCGCGACTCCATAACATCCACCATCTTTCATTTTTATTTAGTTTACCTACTTGAGCGTTGAGGTCATCAGCCATTATAACTACATCAGAGCGTCTAGCCTTTTGGAGGAGATGCGAAAGCTTCCTGTAAAACTCATCTGAACTGCAGTCAGTGGGAGCGTAGGCAGATACCACGAAGGCAACGGCGAGTGTCCCTATCTTCCCGAGTCCTTACTGTCCCGATTAGTCGGATAGCCCACAAGCGACTATCTACTGAGAACTCGTCAAGGAGAGATTGTTCAGCACTACGACTCAATGCTATAGCTACGCCAGCGAGACGCCGGGAAGTAGCATCAGGGTTTCCAGATACACAAAGAGTAAACCGTGTAGTATCTCCGTCTGTACTACGTGAAATCAAATTGATGATTTTACTCAGATCTTGTATGCGCGTTTCAGAGACGCAATGTACTTCAATTACACGCGATTACAGAGTTCTAGCTAATGAAGCCTGTTGCCCTGTTTAGCGAAAGGTTCGAATATTAAAAGCTACAAAATGTAATATAGTACGGGGTTTCAGGAAGCCAGGAATAACTTTTCGTGAGCTCGAACCGTTTACTTTGGTGATAAACTATTGAAAGAACAGTTGGCCGTGGAGATATGAGAGTTACTAGGAGGTGGAGAAAGGACTTAATTCTGACCGACTTGACCTCGTGTACTTTTAAGGGTGAGAGCGGATGTTACTTACCGGCTGCCCACATCATGGGAGGGTTGTGGTTGTGAAGAGGGGCATCGGCCTCATGACTTCCGAATGAACTCTGCTTTCATCATGAGACATAATAACCCTTCTAAATGAAGACCTAACTCCTAGAGCAGTTTAAATGGTTTGTATTATTTTTACTTCTTAGCGTTGTTTTAGCGAGTTAGTTTTCTGCAGGATGGTGTCGCCAACCCCAACCCGAACCCTCCTCCTTTATCCAGGCTTGGGACCGGAAGTAGCCCCGGAGGGCCTACAGGAGGAGCTCAGTCTGTCATTGTGTTTATACCATGTCATCATTATGAATGACTGTGAGACAAACACTTCTTTGGATCATGGTCACTTGACAGGACTTTCGAAAGATGTTTAAACTATATATATACATACATAGTTTAAACATCTTTCGAAAGTCCTGTCAAGTGACCATGATCCAAAGAAGGGTTTATATACTAGAAAACCGAAACAAAATTTAGGAGGGTGCATTCGACTAGCATGCCAATATCAAGTTTGAGCATAAATAATAGGTACCGGGTTGGTAATACTTCTTAAATGAGACACAGTTGAAAGGCTTAGAATTATCTTACGCACAATGTATCGGGATGGTAAGTGACGTCTTATTAGTGCATCGTGTTAACTAAAGTTTTTCTCTCTCAATGACTAATTACATGAGGTACTCACGAAAACGGATATCAGGAAGATAAGACCAAAAAAATCTTGATTGATCCTGCTCTTACAGAAAAATGGTAAACGACAGAAACACTATATCAACAGAATAGATGATAGCCAAATTCGTCAGTAGTTTTAGAAGGGAGCTAAACCTCCAGCGAAAACTTACTGCAAGGATTAATTTGAACTAATCAAACCACTATGTCTGATGTTAACAACTGAAAACATTAAAATTATGTACTATGAACCGCTTAATAGGCAATGCTACATAAGGATAATTCTCTAAATTTTACGATATAGACTATTACGTATAGTTTCTTTAGTATATCTAACAATTTTTAGGGATTTATTCGTAATGCTTGACTTATACGAAAAGATAAATCCATTAAATGATAAGGTTAGGACAACGTTAATGCTCCCTGTTAGTCTGTTTACATGTATCAATGACGCAATATAATGACAAGTAACGTTCCCCTCAAATACTTCACCCGATATACAATATCCAATATATCCAATACTTTTTTAACGAGCTAGTATGAATGAGTTGATGTTTTCGAGCTCGATTATTGTTTTTTCAGTACGGTTCCAGGTATTTGGTAGTGCACAATGAATCTGAGTTTAGCCACTTCACTGTCTATGTTTAGTCAGTTGGTAGTTGTTTTTGATTTAAAACAATTAGTCCCTTTTATAAATTTTGATAGAATAGTGAGAAGACGAAATTGATCTGAAAAATGTGATGTACTTATCTTATACATTTCGAACAATCTGGCCACACATATTTACTTGTCAAGGCATTTTATATGAAGATGAATAAAAGGTCAATTAAATGACAGTTCAAATAGACATAGGGTGATAATTGTATATAAAGAAGAGAGAAAATGAACGTAATATAAAAATTTACCTTGGTAATCTATAGGCCTAGGGTAATGTGACAATTTTCCTTCTAATTCTTTTCATAGTACGTTAATTTTCTCTCACCCTATGTCTATTTGAACTGTCATTTAATTGACCTTTTATTCATCTTCATATAAAATGCCTTGACAAGTAAATATGTGTGACCAGATTGATCTAAATGTATAAGGCAAATACATCACATTTTTCAGATCAATTACATCTTCTCACTGTTCTATCAAAAGTAGTTTGTGAGTTTGTATGTCACGTGATTACAATGAAGACGTTTGTTTTAGAGCAGTAGAGTTTCTGGATACCAACAGCTATCACATTACCAGATTATATATCAGTTTTATGCATTGTGGAGAATAAGAAAGAGAAAATTATTCTGCTAATAAAAATACGATTTCCGGACGAATTATTATGAACAGACAATTTAGTTTATTAACTGGTAGTGAAGATTTTGCTGGAGGACCGAAATGTAAAAAAGGGAGAGGAAACAGATAATAGGCGAGATAAATTAGGTTGATGATCTGAGCAGATGGCAATGATAACAACTAGCAGGTCTCAAGACATGCATCGTCTCCCCTATAGATAATAATCAGTATGTGAGCGTGTAATTATCGAGTCTCTTCTTAAAGATATCCACTGGGAGGGGCTGCGGTCACTTCAGCTGAGAGAGCATTCCAAATTTAAAAGACAAAAAGTGTGCGCGAACTTGAGTATTTGCCATTTGACGCCCCATTTTTCGAAGATTGCCTCGAGAGGAAAAGTGGTAATGCATCGGTAAAATGCCTACACTGGGATGGTTTGGCCTGCTCAGCATGTCGCACGCCATAATCAGATCACATCTTACTTTCCTATGACTCTAGGAGAATAATACGAAGTCCTGGATTCTGTCTTCGTACGTTTTATTCTTCAAACCTATCACCCGTTTCGTCGCTCTTCTCTGCATTCGATACAAGACATTTGTTAAATTCAAGGAGCGGGATGTGACGACGTTGTGAACCTCAAGGTGTGGGCGTGCATTTGTATTGAACAATGTTAGGAATAATTCTAGGGTGATAGCACTAAGCTGTCTTCGCTTTAAGCAAAGAGTTGCATTAGCACTGGCTGCGTCCCCTATACAGTTCAGGATTGTGTGGAGGCTTTCAGTAGTTGTCAAACCGATATCGCACTCTGATGAGACATTAGGGAGCGGACTTCCATCGAGGGTGTAAATAGTTTGCGTCATGTGAAGCGGAATGTATATGACGTGACACTTCGTTTGGTTTAGTTTTAAACCCTTTTTAACTGCCCATTCCTTAATAAATATAAGGTCCTTTTCAAGCTTAGTTTAATGAACCTACAGATCTATGCATCGTCAGTGCCGTCGAGCTAACCATGTCTAACAGGTCGTTAATGAGTATCAGGAAGAAAAGTAGTCCTAAGATGGTCTTTTGTGAAACTCCAGATGTTGAGACTCGTCAACTGGCGTGCGATCTATTTGCTTTGGGACCAATCTTTCCATTCTCAAGACAGTTTCTGAACCAAGATTGGAATGGGTCATTGAAGCCTATTTCCGCAACCCTTGTTATAAGGCGTGCACTGTGTCGAAGGCTTTCGCAGGATGCCCAACTGTCCCATGCTAAGAGAATATTAAAGGTACACGACCTGTCGTTCCTAAACCCGTGTTTAGCTTCATGGAGTGTTTTATTCCGATAAATGTACTGTAGAATCCTTTTTGAATGCTTTGTGTTTTGGAAAATCCCTCCATGTTTACATATTTTTGTTATGACATGAAGGACCTTTTCTGTTGACATTTTTGGTATTTTATTTGATTCCAAATTGAGATTTTATCATTGTATATTGTTATTCTTTCTATATTTTGTACTTATATTGAAGTTTTTGTGTTTGCTTCTGAACTGTACATATGTTGTTTAAATTTGATATAATATGGCTACCGCCCCA